CAGTTTTCCCACACTGCACCATGAAGAAAGGGCTAGAGTGGCCACATTTTGGGAGGGCACTAGGAAGTCTGGGATATGGGTGGTTGGATTCAGGCCCACATGATGCAGTGTAGACCCAGGGTGCAACAGTTCCTAACCTGGGATTACAAATAAGTGCAGATGCTCAAGCCGCAGGATAACAAACCCAGGGTCTGCTTCTTGACTTCTACTAACCCTGGGCTTACAGTTAGAGAGAACTGAGTGAATAACAGCTTTTTCCATTTATTTCATTTGATTTTGGAGCAAACAAAACACTTAATGCAATCTGAAAATAATTATTATTCTTTGTTTTTGTGTTTTCATTTTGTTTCATTTGTGGTTGGGTTTTTTTTAACCCATTTGTTTGCTCGCTCGTTTAAATGACTAACTAATTTTCTAAATGAAAAGTAGAAACAAAACATTTTGACTTTTGGGTAGGAAAAATCTTTGGGTTTTTTGGCCAAAACTATTTGCTGAATTTGACACAAATTCACAACCCAAAACTGCATTTTGTGGCGAATAAACAATTTGTCTGAAAAAGTTTTCCCAGCTGTGCACCAGGAGTTTAGGTTTGAAAGTAAAAAGTACTAGCCATAAAAGCACACGAAAGGAACTGGCAAGCTCTGGGGACTGAGACTGTGCTGCTGAGTCTTACACCTTCCCGTTGACAGCTTAAATCCAGTGACAGTTGTTCAGTACCATGTATCTACAGCACCAGGCTGCTTCCCGGAGGGCACGTGTCCACATCACAAAAATATCCTCATTTGTATCTGATGCTAAATTCTAATTGCAGCAGCACTGTTTGGCCAATGAGTATAGAATTATCCCAGAGTTGGGGCACACTGGCTGTCAGGGTGCAGGGAAGCTTGCTCTGTCACGTCCCGTGATAAAAATAATACAGAGCACATATCCAGTGCTATGAATTCATAGCTCTCAAGACACTTCATAAAGGTGTGGAAGTAACATCATCCATCTTTTGTGAATGGGGAAACTGAGGGGGTTGGTTAAATGACTGTGGCAGTGATAGGAACAGAATGGAGGTCTCCTGACTCCCAGTCACCTCTTTGCTGGACTGTACCACACGGCATAACTGCTAGGGCTAGAATTTTTGGAGAGGCGCAGCTCCTCTAATTGAGGCCAGATTTGAAGAAGGGAGCAGATCATTGGGGGCTGAGCCCTTGAAAATCTGGCCCTGAGCTCTTTGGATTAGCTGGCCTTGCAGGCAGAAATAGAGGCTCTGATTGTTCAGCAGCTATCAGTCCCCTTTCCTGTGCCCATCGTCCTCAACACAGCAAGAGGCTGCTTGAGAAAAGCAACACTCGGAATTACAGACACAAAGCAAATAACACTGCGTTCTTGCGCAATAATGTCACGCGTTGCCCAAGGAGGGGATGTCTGACTCCATCCATAAACAAGAGTGCATCTGATCGCTGTCACACATGCCACACAGCCTAGTCGCAGGGCAGGAAGCGATTGTGTCATTCACGGTGTTTGCCATACCGGGGGGTTCCTCACCAGATGTCTGACAGCCCCGCTGCCCACCCGGCTCCTCGCTGAGCTCTGACTGCTTTACTCTGCTCACCTACTTCTCAGCTGCGTTGCCATGCTGAGAGGTGAGTGGTTTGACATTTCGATGAGCTGATGTGAGGAGCGGGAATCCAGCTTCCCCCTGTGTCTGCAGGAGACATATGGGGGCTGGATTGTACCTGTCACAAGTTGCCAGTCAGAATTGCTTGGGCACAAGGAGATATATCCTCCAGTCCCGGGAACAGCCACTGCATGTGCTTGATTGCTAAATATTTGCTATGTGACATTTCCATTGGCAGCTGTGCGTGTGTCTCAGTGCACAGACACGGCTTTCTATCTCCCTGTTTGCTCTGTCTTTGCAGTAGCTTTTGGGCATCAGTTAGTACATCTTCCCAGCCTGACTTGGGGGGGAGGGCTGGGAAACAGGGAGCTGGGAAGGGGTGTCATTAGAGCCACACCCTTTCCTAACCCAAACATGCACACACACTCCCTCCTTCCAGATATTTTTGTCACAACCTGGCAATGGTGTGTAGCAACAGAAAAGGACCATTTCACCTGGAATTGAATTAAATCCTCCCCATGGATCTAATAACAAGATACTTTAGCCCTTAACGGGGGATAAGGCCAGGTCTGTACTAGAAAAGGGTTGCTGGAATAGCTATGCTGGAAAACCTTAGTGTAGATGCAGTTTATACCGGCAAAAATGTGCTTTCTCTGCTGTAGCTTATAGCAGTCCAGGGAGCAAAATAAGTGTACTGGCAAAAGCTCTTTTACACTGGTATAACTGGGCCTGCTCTAGGGCTTTTGCCAATATGGAAATGCCACACAAAAAACCCTCCAAATCACACAAGAAGCCCCACTCTCCTAATAGACATTACTGTGCCAGCCTGAAAGTAGAGTAACCCACCCTGATATAGCATATAAGGGCTCTGGTAGTGGCAGGACCGGCTCCAGGCACCAGCTTAACAAGCAGGTGCTTGGGGCAGCCAAGGGAGAGGGGCGGCACGTGCGGCAATTCGGGGGCGGCAGGTCCCTCACTCCCTCTAGGAGTGAAGGACCTGCCGCTGAACTGCCGCCGCCAATCGCGGCTTTACCCCCCCCCCGCCCAATTGCCGCCGCTGGTCGCGATTGTGATCGCGGCTTTTTTTTTTTTTTTTTGCTTGGGGCGGCAGAAATGCTGGAGCCGGCCCTGGGTGGTGGCATCTGGTATTGAGTTTGGTGAGTCTGCTACTGCCTTGCTGTTGTGGGACTTGGGCTTTAGATCAGGTGTAGCAGTGTGTTGTTTTTCAAGTCCTAAGTCCGGGGGTCAATCCCTGCATGTGACCTGTTCAGGGCTCCCTTACAAGAGGGTCTAAAGAACATTAAAATGAGAGCTAGATGTAACCCAGGGTTACTCTGGTTTCTGCTGGTATAATTCCTCTATTGAAGGGCTTGCTGTGAACCACCACCACACAAAGGATAGGTGGCAGTAGATGGAGAGGCATAATGCCAGGGTTGCCTGCTCGCCATTGAGTTATTCCACCCTAAGCTGGGCCAGGCTAGTGCGTAATTTACTCCATCCTGCACCGGCGGGGCTGCCTCCGGCCCAAGACCTTTAGTCCCAGTTAAATAGGTAGGTGGCTCATTGCCAGCAGGTGATCCCTTCTTTCCTACTGCAACAATCTCCACTCTTTGCTTCTTCCGATTGGGCATGTTAAAAAGGCAAACAGCAGCGTAATATACAACCTAGTCCAATCACTGCCTCCTCTTGGATAGGAAAAGGAATCCTAGCAAACTTGCACACGACTCCTTTCCCATAATCAAAAGGGATAATGAGCAATCAGACAGGAAGTGATGACACGATGTGTAAATATCTAAAACACAGAGGCAGGCAGACAGCTAAATGGGTCTGATCCTCTGATAACAAAAACTCCTCCACCTCTGAACACACAGGAAAGGCAGAGAACTTCAGTCAGGTCATGGAACAAGTTTTATATGGGTTTTAACATTAGGAACCCCTGATTAATTAACTACAACTTTGGAAGGGAATAGTGTTTCAATTCAAGCCTTCTGCCAGTCTTTGCCTCCTTCCGTATTAAAAGGAGGTCTGCATTCCCAGGGCCTGCTTCCGTGTCAGCCTTGCAGGGCTGCCGCTGGGATGTATCAGCACAATGGCAGCTCCCGTGGAGAAGCCCTCTCCAGCACTGGAGAGAATGACAATTGACATGTACAGCTAGGAGACATTCTTAAAAGTCATAGCAAATGTAGATGTGGAATTGCTCTGTAGTAATCGATCGGTACTGCGATGTACTGATGGAATGAATAGTGTGGTCAATATAACTACTGGGGGTTATTGGAACTTCCTGGATGATGGTAGTGATCTGACTTAGTAGGGAGCTGTGGGAAAAGCAAACAGGAAAGCAATCCAGGAGCTCTAGGTAAAGGCATCCACTTGAAAGAGAGTGGAGCAAACTGTTAGACTTCAAGGAAGAGGCAAACTTGTCTTGCCAAGCCTGGAAGTCAACAGTTTCCCTGAAACAGGGAGAAATGGTTGGTGAGTTAAGGGACCAGACTATGACACTAGTCTTGGAGATTATGGGGGGATCTCTGGGAATCTGAGACCTGCCAGGATCCCCGCATGAAAGATGATTAGACACCTGGTACCCTAGACATGCATACAGTCTGCTTTATTCCCTTAAGACCTGTTGTCTCTTAAATGCTTTTGTTCTAAGTAAATAAGGCTTGGCTTTGAGAAGGCTGTTTGGTCAGTGTAATAACCACTATCAGGACTGCTGTGGGGAATAGAGCCTATATCACGTAGGCAATCTCGGTTAGTACTAGGGAGCTGCCACCCAGGGCCTGCTCTGAGAGCGGGTGAATCATGTGGTTCCACTTGGGGCCAGGGGATGGCTTGAGGCCCAAGATATGGTAGTGGAGGGACTTGATGAGACAGGAGGGGTTTGAGGTGCAGTTCTCTTTGTGACTAGGACACCATATTCTCATTGAGGGCAGGACTGTGCTTTGCTAGGCACAGACCGGTTGTAGGGGTACAAATGTGCAACATGGCTCCTGAGGGAGCTCCAGGAGGGTGCAGGGAGCTTCCCCTCAATGGATAACCAGCTTCCCTGAGTAGTTCAAAGGAAGGAATGGAGCCCTCCTGACCCTAGTAGCAAGGAAAGCTCCTGGCCCTCTCTCCTTGAGCACCTTATAAATGCCTCAAGCTGACCTTGGAGTGGGGGAAAGAAAAAGGCAATGGTAGGAAATCCAACTCCCCTTCCTACTCCAGTTTGCTCTACCCATTGCCCCAGGACATAGTGACAATGCTGGGCAAGTGTCTGAGGTAGACCCTGGAGAACCTTAGAAACTCCCAAGGGCGGGTGTATTCCTCTGAGGCGCAGTCCTGCTTTATCCCTGTGATGGTGGGTAGCCTTGGGGCCATGGGAGCGGCTCGCTCATTCTTTGCTTGTTTACTCCAGGACAGAAAGCATGGAGGAGTATGACTACGATTACCTCAGTGTCAATAAAACCTGGGTCCTGACCCCCAAGGCGCAGGAGACGGACGCCACACAAATCCTCAACTCACTGCTGAAGAACTACGACAACAAACTGAGGCCCGACATCGGCAGTAAGTGCCCCCCTCCAAGCCTCAGCCTTTCCTGGGTCTCCAGGCCCATTGGTGTGCGGGGAGGGAGTAAGTTCTTAATGGTTGCTTCCAGGAAATGCTCGGTTTGTTCCAGACCTTGTGAGCTTCTTCCCAGCGGTGCCCTGTCAGCACCAGCTGGGGGGAATCCAGTGCTGTGAGCTTCCTCCCAGTGGTGCCCTGTCAGCACAGCTAAGGGGGAATCCAGTGCTGTGAGCTTCCTCCCAGCGGTGTCCACCAATACCAGCAAAGGGAATTCAGCAATGTGAGTTTTTCCCTGCAGTCCCCATCCTGTAACAGAAATAGCCTCAAGCTATTCTAGAACCCCCAGATCTATGCACCCACGTTCCAGGTCTAGCGCTGATAGTTCTCTTGCGGTCTCCCAACCCTCAATTCAGGGGCTTTCAGCTTGTGCCTGCCTATTCCACCCATACTCCCATGTTCCTCCCTGTACGCATCTGCCCCTGGCTCATCCACGTCCTTTTCACTCTCTTTCCAGTCAAGCCCACATTCATCGATGTGGATATCTATGTGAACAGCATTGGGCCGGTCTCCGTCATCCAGATGGTGAGTGTTAAAGGCTACTAGGGCCAAGGAAGATTGTAGAGAGTGAGAACAGGGAATTTGGGATCTCAACTGAGCCTCCCACCCCCGAAATGCCTCCAAATCATTACCATCCCTGTGTCATGTGTCATGGCCTAGGTGGCACTTTTACAGAGGGATCCAGATTTCTTCTCCTTCCCTGGGAAAGAGATGCCAGGAGCACAGCTGATTGCTGCTGGAGACATTCAAGTCTGGGACTTGGAAATGTTTGCCTGCCGGTTTCTGGTTTTGCAGACCAAAAAGAAGGCCCCCGCACCACACACACACACACATACACACCAGCCCTGAACGGGTTAAGGTGGCTCAGATGAGGCCCAATTAACCTTATAAACTGTACCTGGAGGAGAGGCAGGGCTGCTAAGGTCTAAGGCAGAGGTCGGCAACCTACAGTACGCGTGCCAAACACGGCACGCAAGCTGATTTTGTCTGGCACACTGCTGCCTGCTGTGGTCCCGGCCCCCAGCCCCACTCAGCCCCCTCACCCACCACTCTCCCCTGCGGGGGAAGGAGGCAGAAGCTTGGTCCTGCGGAAGCCAAGCTTCCCCCATCCCCCACTTCTTCCCCCAGCGTGGTGCTTTCCTGCCCCTCTTCCTCCCCCTCCCTCTCTCTGCCGCTGATCAGCTGATGGCCCTTGCGAGCGGGAGGGGGACGAATGGCAGCGTGCTCGCTGCTCCGTAGAGGAGGCAGAGAAGAGGTAGGGATGGGACCTTGGGGAAGGGGGTGGAAGAGGGCATATCCCTTCCAGCCCCCTGCCATGAGCCACTCATGGCAGGGGGCTGGGAGCACCCCAGCCCTCTGCCCTGACCCCTGAACCCCCCACACACACACCCAGCCTTCTGCCCTGTACCCCTACACACCCCCAGCCCTCTGCCCCGACCCCTGAACCCCCCCCACACACACCCAGCCTTCTACCCTGCACCTCCACACACACCCCAGCCCTCTGCCCTGACCCCTGAAACCCTCCACCCCCACTGCCCTCTGCCCTGACCCCTGAACCCTCCACACACACCCAGCCTTCTGC